GGGATCATGACCTGAGCCGAAGGCAGACGCTTAACGACTGAGCCACCCAGGCGCCCTGAGGCTACTCTTAAAGCAAACACCAGGAGTGGTGTTGAGGCCACCTGACTCAGTTTACCTATGCAAGTTGCTCTGCCCTCCTGGCCCCTTCATCAAAAATTCATCCTTCCAGGGGGACCCATTATGCCATTATCCCTCCCAAAGCAGGCTTAGATAGTGTCCCTTTATCTACTCTGGAGGTAAGGCCAGAACTCAGGGGGCCTTGAGTCTGTGAAGAGGGAGGTAGAGACTTGAGATTCAAAGGGATAGGGGCTGAGTTCAGGTCCGCAGTGCACATTAACAGGGTCGGGGTGGACTGAGAAGAGGCCCCTGTCCAGGCCCGTGATCCCACTTCCCTCAAGTCCCAGGGAAATCTCTTCCAAGGTACGCACTAGACCTCGGCTTGAAGCACCTGCCGCTCATCACTCCCTCCCTGGGCGGAGGACAGTCACCCATTCCTGAATGAATGAAAAGTTCTTTCGGGTCCACAGAGCTAGGGGCATTCAGACAAGCATTTCCTCATCTGGGTGGAAAAGTTTCCTAACCACACCTATACCCACGGGCTTTAGCCAGCAGGATAAACAGAAACCAGGAGGCTCCATGAAGAATACCAGTAAGCCACCTGTAAAAAGGGCAAATCCGGGGAAATGCTAGACCCGATGCGTGTGGCTGCAGTGCCAGGAAAACAAGAGGTACTAATGGGAGTCACCATGAGGATAATAATGCAGTGAGCGAACGGACAAAACAGGCGTGTACCCTCTGTAGTGAGAAGGAACTGCCCCTATAGGGCCAGGGGCTTCTTTCCAGGGTCCTAGGGGTTCTTTCTCGGGGATTGCTGGTGACTGTCAGCTTCATCTTCCATCTGCCCTTGGAGTCAGGGACTCCTCTTGTGATTCATATTAGCCAGGTGGGAGATGAGAAGTTAGCCCTCGTCCTACTGATGCATGATGAGAACAAATGCTTCAGAGGGCACTGCCTGTGCTGGGGACAGGACAGACTTACAGTCCAGGCAGGAGACAGAGCCGAGCAAGGGCCTGCCGTACAGGTGCCAAGTGCCAGGAAAGGGGTGCTCTCAGGGTGGGCTTCCCGGTGGAGGCACTGGGGAAGTCTGGGCCTGAAGGATAGAGGGCTTAGTCCCACCATGCCACCTGCACCAAAGGAACGCCTTAAATGGACACCAGCGGAGGACTATGGGCTGGTTCTGGAAAGAGTCCTAAGACGCAAAAGCAAGGTGGAACCCTTCCTGTCAGGCCCCTCTATACAACGGTGTTTGGCTTATCACCAGCCACAGGGCAGGATGGAGGCTGGGAGAGGTGGGGGCACTCTTTTGTGCCAGAGGCCGCCCTCTCCCTGAACCAATGCCCTTCCAGATGGCGATACACTGACACTGAAGACAAATCATTTTTGTAAGGCTTACTGCCAGGCCCACTGGTAACTGGTTCCTTCTCCTGGGGACAGATGCAGCAAGGTGCCGGGCACCGAGAATTCACAAAGCTCTCCCCACCCATCCTGGCACCAAGCGGGTAGCCAGGGGCAGCTCCGAGCAGAGCAGGCACTGGGAAGGCCCTACAGAGGGTGGCATCTGTGCTCTACTTGACAACCTCAGAGCCAAGTCAGGTGTGCCCGCAACAGCCCCACCCGCTCCCAAATCTCACTCACCCCCTGCCTGAGAAGGGCATCTAAGGCAAAAGGTAGTACGGGATGGGTCTTACGGCCCCCATCCTGCAGTTGCCCCCCTTTAGCAGGGATTGGCCGGTTGATCTCAGAGCAGGTGTTTGAGTCATTAGTAAATTAGTAACAGTTGTACTTAATAGCTATTGAGCAGTAACTATGTGCATCGTGTCGTTTTAAGAGCTTTGGGCAAACGACACTCATTCAGTTATTCCTCACAGCAATCCTTGAGGTAGGTGCTATTATATCCCCATTTTATTGATGCAGAAACTGAGGCGCAATTGCCTGCTTGCATCCTCACAGCCGCTGAGTATCCGCTCCCAGAGGCTGGGTGTGGAGCCTCGGTCAGATCCTCCATGCGTGAGGCAGTTACCCGAGGCAACCCACAAGCAGTTCGCCACGAAATCTCTCCCCTGTCTAGGGTCGCTTTGGAAACGGCCCTGAATACAGCAACATCGAATAACAGGAGACAGAGTCCATTAGCCTTCGCCCTGCTCCCAGCCGCCCTGGGTCTAGAGAGAACTGCAAGGGAGGTGGCTTCCGGAGCAGGCTTCCCCTCCCCCACCCCTCACTTGTTCAATAGGCTCTGTTCTTTCAGAGGAAAAGAATACCAAGGTTTGTGTTTAAGACCAAAAAACAAGCAAAAGGACATCACCCCCTCTTCTGTAGGCACAGGCCTGCGGTTCTTATCCCTGGGTCCCTCAACGGGACACTTGTCATGAGCTGCACCCCACCCCCACCCCTACTAACAGTTGTGAGGCTGCCACCTGTTTGCTCCATTCCTGGACTGTCCCCCCATTTAGAGCCTGCACCCTTGGTTTTCTGAGGGCCTTCTTCAAACTTGGATCCAGGAGTTTGGGGGGGGACTCCTCCTGCCCTCTCCCCCCTTCTCTTTCCTCTTCCTGCCCCCTCGGCACCCAGCCCAACTGCGTTCTAACAGGAATCCGGGGCTCTGGTGTGGAGTTTCAGGTCAGCTGAGACAGGCTGTGACTCTTCCTGCTGCCCGTGCATATCAGTGTGTGATGGCTGGTGACAAGGCGTTTCTTTTAGTTCCTACATATTTTTCTCAGGCCTTAGGGAGTTGTTTTGCCCCAGTGTGGGCGGAACATTAGCTATGCACGAGGTGGGAGTGGTGGAGAGCCTGCAGCTCGGCGTGGCACAAATCAATGCCAGTGCATTACCCTGGGAAATAGTCATGCTGCTGGAGCCCAGCAGGAGCTAACCAGGAGCTAGACCTTTCCACCAGAATGTAGAAGGCGGGTGGGGGCCCCACGATGCAGAGAGGACCAGGAACCCGCTCCAGGCCCCCAGGAACCATCTGAAGCCTGTGAGGAGTCAGCCTACACTTACTTGCCCATGGCACCAGTGCTTCTGGAACAAGGGGGGCCACTCACTCACTGTCCTCTCGTCCATCAGCCCCTGAAGAGAACACCTGCTGGAGGATCTTCGTGTCTGCCCCTGGTGGCCTTTGGTCCAAAACATTATGTCTGGGGACTGATACTTGAGAGTCCAAAAGGAAGCCCCAGACAGGCTTGCGTGGGGGGGTGGAGGCCAGGGCTTAACCATGAATCCATGAGGACTCGGCCCCTGGCCCAGTCCAGGCTGGCTGGCCCCATCCCACCTCAAGGTAGGCCCCAGGTTGTCCAGTCCCCTCCCGTAGCCTTTCCTTGAGAATGTGCCTAATCCCAGAGCAAAGCCAAGCCGTTCCAAAGGCTGTGCGAACTGGCCTAGGCTGGCAGAACGGCGGGCTCCCCCACCCGCTGCTGGGCATGGCAGGTGTAGGTGCAAATAGTCAGCCTTTGTCCCTGACCCAACCTGAGTGACCTGCGTGTGAGCATTCCCCCTTCCCTGCAGCGGCATCTGGGATCCTCCTCCTCTCTTCTGAATGCGCTCCGACTGAGAGGATGCCTCATACCGCCCAAGGGATTAGCCCATCTCCATCAAGCCAGGGACTGACCTACGGAAAGCTTAAAAGCAACCTTTTTCGATGTATGGTGGTTGCGATGACATATGGTGACCGTGTGGGAGTTGAGCCCCATCATCACACTCAGCAGTTTCCAGAGAACAGCTCCAAGTCACTTACTCCTGATCAAAGCAGTCCTCTGGTTCTTGAAAAACCAGAAAAGTCATTTCTCAACTCGAAGAACAAACCCCTGAGAGACCTCTATGTATAATTCTTCCGCTCCCTTTAGAGAGGAGGAAAGGAGAAAAGCCAGGCAGGGCCCTTACCCCCTTCTAAAGAGAGGGGGCCCCAAAGCAAGATGAGGACACAGGGCCAGGAGTCAGTGGGCACAGCCAGGGAAGGCCAAGCTCAGCCACTGTCCAGCCCCCACTCCCTGGGGACTACAGAAGCGATCCCTGGCTGGGGCAGCAGGGAAAGTTGGCCAAGAGCATGGAGGGTGTCTGCCTTGAGCCCAGGAGAACCTTTAGGGCATTTGGCTCCCTCCCTGGCCTCTTACTGAGAACTGTCTCCACTACCCTGTCCCCGGTTGAAACGAGGTCGAGGGGGTGGGCTGGTCTACCTATGGCCCTCCAAACCTTGCTGAATCAATGGCTCAGCAAATGCAGATTCTTGGGCCCAGCCTTGACGAAGTGACTCAGATCCCTCAGGGTGTGTTTTTGACAAGCAGACCCAGGGGCTGGGAGCTCCCCAGTGGCTCCGAGCTGCCCCTTCACTCCCTGGGGGAGAGAAGGGAAGAAGGGAGCCAGGCCTTGCCCAGGGCTGCCCTGTGGACAGGGCCCCTTTTATGATCCTTCCTGCTGCAGGCAAAAGTTCATCGTGGGTGTTTGTATGAAGGCAGAAGCCGGGACATGACTTGCTGTCACTGCAAGAAGTGCCACCCTGGAGACCAAGTTACCTGGGCAAGCTATGCTCCCCACTCTTCCCTCCCCCCCGCCCCGCCTCCTCCCCCCGCCAGCCTCAGTCTCCTCCCAGCTCAGAAAAATTAGGTTCCTCTGAGTCCTCATGCTGTGTTCTCAGTGTAACCAGAAGGCGGACCACCCACCAGAAAACTGCTGTATCACCCTGCCCCCACCCCACCCTCTCCACCGGATGATCTAGGGCGGCTGCTCCCCAGGCAGGTGAAAATCTAGGGCAGGTCTCAGGACTTGTCTGGTCACTCTCATAATAAAAGTCCCCAGTCACTTTGGGTCAGAGACACAGTCTCCTGTGAGTAACTACTGTGTCCAGTGCACTGTGAGAATCAAAACTGCAAACCCACTCCAGGGGGCTCCCCCACCCCACTTCCGAAAAGTGCACCCAACCTAGGAGCTGGGACTCTCACCCTCCTTCTCTGCACTCCCGGGGTCTCTCTTCACTCCCAGCCGGTCTGTCCTTCGCTTTTCCCTTTGATGGGCTGCGGAGGACGGAGCTGAGTTAGTGGTTTCATAACCTGTTTTCAGGCATTTCCTTCACAAGTTCTGAAGCGGGGGTGCGGGAGGGTGGGGGGGGGGTGCGGTCATCTCTCCTGGGACTTTGTGAGAGAAGATTCCTCTGGCCCTGGCCAGGGCTGAGACAAAAAGCTTCCTATGTTAACATCTTGTTCTGTGAATGGTGGACCAAGTGTCACAGAGCCCCTGGCTTAGAAGGGAAGGAGGAAGAGGAAGCAGAGACTGTGGTCCCCAAAGGAGAAGTCCTCCTTGGATGGGGACGGGAACAGGCCAGAGGCAAAGCCCCAGGTTGAGTTGTTGGGAGAGGACATTCCACGGCGAGCCCACCCATTTGGGGTGCCCCGTGACCGCACTGCCCACAACAGCAATATGGCCTCTGTGGCTCACACCACCTGGTTGGGCCAGCCTTCCACTCCCTGCCACAGCCCTGCAGCTTTCGGAGGTCTGGGGTAGGGGTGCTGGGCCAGGGTGAGGTTGCCATACACCCCCACCCACCCCTCCCCTGAGCCACCACCCTTCCCTGCCCCTGTGGGCAGTTTCCTTGCCTTGGGAGGGGAGGGGAGCTCCACCCTGTTGGCCTTGGACGCTGGCATCTGTGACTCCCAGGCTATGGGGAGGTCAGACATGGGAGTATGAACTGTGAGTAATCAACTCAAAGGACTACAGATTTAAAACATAACAAGCATTTTACACCCATTGGGTTAGCAGAAAATTGCAAATTCTGATGCTACCCCATGTGGCAAGGATGAGGAACAATGGGGACTTTCACACACTGCTGGTGGGAGTTGGCCTGGTCCAGGTTTTGCTTGAAACGTGTACAATTTGGGGACCTTCTTTATTAAAGAATACAAAGTAAGGCAGGGTCTTGGAGGGGGCCTGAGCTTAATTATGCTTCATCAGCTTCCAGGTAACTCTGCTTCTGGAGCATGTACATTGGAATCATCCTTTTGCATAGCGATGTGGTAACAGCTGGGAAAAGGAAGATGTGCATTCCCTGTGAACCAGGAGGTCAAATCCTCCCTGTGTGCTCTGGGAAGAACTTCCCCACATCTAACTAACAGGGCACATACAAGAATGTTCTTGGCAAGGCTATCCGTGCTAGCAGAAAGCAACAAACTGCAAACAGCCAAAATCTCCATCAAGAGAAGAACAAATAAACAGCGTCAACCTGCGGGATGTTACTATTTTCATAAAGCGAAAGCATATAAAACAATGCCACGTGCAGTCCACCCATAGTGAGGTGTGCAGTCTAGGTTTAAGTCAACTCTGCTTGGGAGTAATGAACACCATGTTCAGCCTAGGGATTGTCCTGAGGATAGAAGGAAGAGAAGATGATCGTGGAATAGCCAGTGCATTTAGATGCCATCCAAAAAGCTTTATTTCCTGAATACTAAAAGTAAATCAGGCCAAATATTAAGATTTGACAAAGTGAAGTGATAATTATGTGGGCGCCTTTTCTGTAAATATGAAGTATTTCTTAATTTTTGTTCTTTAACAAACTTAAGGGAAGTCTACATAACATAAAACGAACCATCTTAAATTGACAAGTTCAATGGCATTTAATACATTCACGATGTTGTGCAACCACCACCTCTAACTCCAAAACATTTTCACCACCCCAAAAGGAAACCCCATTCCCATTAAGCAGTTCTTCCCCATTCTCCCTCTCATCTCGGTCCCTGGACAACCACCGCTTTGTGTTCTGTCTCAATGGATTTACCTATTCTGGGTATTTTACATAAATAGAACCATACCTATATGACCTTTGGTGTCTGGCTTCTTTTACTTAGCAGAGTGTTTTCAGAGTTTGTCAACTTTGCGCATGTACCAGTACTTACTTCATTCCTTTCTATGGCTGGAGAATATTCCACTGTATGGATAGATCACAATTTGTCTATCCATCCACTGAATTGGGGCTGTTTCCACCTGTTGGTTATTGTGAACAGGGCCGCTACAAACATGCATGTCATGTACCTATTCAGGTCCCTGCTTTTAATTATCTTGGTTAAAAATCTAGCCATGGAGGGCGCCTGGGTGGCTCAGTTGGTTAAGCGACTGCCTTCGGCTCAGGTCATGATCCTGGAGTCCCGGGATCGAGTCCCGCATCGGGCTACCTGCTCAGCAGGGAGTCTGCTTCTCCCTCTCCCACTCCCCCCTCTTGTGCTCTCTCTCTCTCACTCTCTCTCTCAAATAAATAAATAAAAATCTTAAAAAAAAAAAGAACACTAAAAAAAAAAAATCTAGCCATGGAATTGCTGGGTCATATGGTAATTTCTTTTTTCAGGAACCACCAAACTGTTTTCCAGAAGCAGAGGAACCATGTTAGTTTCCACCAGCAGTGTATGAGGGTTCTAATTTCATCCTGGCCAACACTTGCTATTTTCTGTTTTTTTTTTTTTAAATAATGATCACCATAATTTCACGTGAAATCGTACCTCATTGTGGTTTTTATTCCATTTTCCTAATGACTAATGATGCTGAACCTCTTTTCATGTGCTTATGGGCCATTTGTATAGCTCTTCTGGAGAAATGTCTATTCAAGTTTGTTGCATATTTTCTAACTGGCTTGTGTGTCTTTCTGTTGTTGAGTTGTAATAGTCTGTAATTTTAAAAAACCCTCCCAGTGCTATGGTGAGCGCTGTGAATTGTGCAAGACTGTTGAATCACAGATCTGTACCTCTGAAACAAATAATGCAATATATGTTAAGGAAAAAAAAAAGAAGAAGAAGATAGCAGGAGGGGAAGAATGAAGGGGGGTAATCGGAGGAGGAGACAAACCATGAAAGATTATGGACTCTGAAAAACAAACTGAGGGTTCTAGAGTGGAGGGGGGTGGCAGGATGGGTTAGCCTGGTGATGGGTATTAAAGAGGGCACATTCTGCATGGAGCACTGGGTGTTATATACAAACAATGAATCATGGAACACTACATCAAAAACTAATGATGTAAGGTATGGTGATTAACATAATAATAAAAAATTTTTAAAAAAATAAAACACCAAAAAAAAAAACCAAACAAAAAAACCCTCCCACAGTTCTTTAACTCACTACTCCTTCCACACATCAAGAGGCATACAGCTTCCTCTCTACAATGTTACAACCCCTGCAGGGGGACAACTTAAAGGACCAGTGTCTGCTTTCTTTTCTGCTCTCTCTGGCACCCCGTGGGTACATCCCCACTCTGGAGAGGAAGAAAGAGATTCAGAGACACACTGGGGCACGCGAGGTCTCTCGGAAAGTTGGGAGGAAGGAAGGGAGGTGGGGGAGCAGGGCTGAGGTTAAGGAGAAAAAAATCATTGTTTTTTTTTTAAAGATTTATTTATTTATTTCAGAGAGAGGGAGCACAAGTCGGGGGAGAGGCAAAGGGAGAGGAAGAGAGAAAGAATCTCCAGCAGACTCCCTGCTGAGCGCGGAGCTTGATGTGGGCCTCGATCTCATGACCCTGAGATCATGACCTGAGCCGAAATCAAGAGTCAGATGCTTAACCGACTGAGCCACCCAGGTGCCCCCCCCCTTTTTAAAGATTTATTTATTCATTTCAGAGAGAGATAGAGAGTGCACATGCAAGAGCATGAGCAGAGGGAGCAGTAGAGGGAGAGGGAGAGAGAGAGAGAGAATCTCAAGCAGACTCCCTGCTGAGCTCAGAGCCCAACGCAGACAGGTCTCAATCCCAGGACACAGAGACCGCGACCTGAGCCAAAACCAAGAGTCAGAATCTTAACCAACTGAGCCCCCCAGGCGCCATTAAGGAGAGAAAAAAAATCACTTCTAACAGCTGAGAGGAAAGAGTTCCAAGCAAGAAAGAATGATTTTTCTAGAAGCCCCTACCATCTCAGGTCACAAAACAGCCCCGGGAGGAGTAAATTTCCACTAATCCATGGTTCTGAGATTTCCCACACCCAGCCTTCCACTTTCACTTACTGGGTTTTGGGGGTGGTATCCTCTCATCCCTACCCAGCAGATGGCCCTGCTTGGCTGGGCTGTTCCTACCCTCAGGGGCAATCCTTCCCCTAAACTGTGATACCAGGAGGAGGCAGAGGGCGCTGGAGCTTATCCCTTCTGTGAAGCCGCCACCTGCCACCACCTACTGCCACCTGAGCCCATTCTTGTCAGGGCAAGAGGAGGATGGTGCCCCAGAGTCTTCTGCCTAGAGCTCAAGTAACACACTCTCCTGATTCTTGTTTTAATGCTCCTCAAACAGCTACAAAGGCAGAGTAAGCCACTCTATATAAGGGCAATTTAAGACACTCGAGGAAGACCATTTGTTGCTTAAAAATCTCTCTTGCCCCATCACACCTCACCATTAGCCATCATCTCTTTTGGTTATGAAACTCTGCCTTTGTAAATGCAGTAGCCTCTGAAGGAACCACCCATTACTTATTCCCAAGTCATAGGGTCTATATGCTCTTTTCAGAAATCCAGCCTTGGGCAAGCACAGGCTAACTGCTGCATGGAAGCTCAGATGAGCCATTTGGGAAAAGAATGTGCCAGTGAATGCAAGCCCCTCCCCTCTGGGCCTGGGTGTCCCTATCCATAAATGATGGAGCTGGGCTTAGTGGTGTCCAGGGTTTCTTCTAGATGTCACTTCCTTAATTCTGGCTAGCTCCAGGATTTGAAGTCATTCTGGATACATCCAGGTTTGGGCTCAACTCAACTCACACAACTTCAGTGATAGGGTGCCCCCAGGCAACCTCAGCCCCCTTAACCCTTTCCTCCAAGCCCTCCAGGGAGAACAGAACCTGCTCCCTTTGCTGTTCACACCCTCCTGCCTCCCATCGGACAATAAGAAGCCGGGGCCCTGTTTTTAAACAGTCAGGTTTGGACATTTTCCTTTCCAACCAACCCTCCAGGCAGCCACTTCTGCAGTGGGGGTGCAGGGAAGTCGAGTCTCTGTGGCCGCCACGCACCACACCCACAGAGTAAATACACCACGCCCCCTCCCAAGTCAGGGTCTGTATCTCCTGAGGAGTTTAGGCTGAGGGCGGTCTGAAGCGCCCCTACACAGTGATCCCCTTTTTAGGAGCCGGGCGTGGGAAGCGCTTTCGGGGCGGAGCCAGCGCGGCTCCAGCTCAAGGAGGGACTCCTGGAGTTCCTGCTGCTCAAGGTGAGCCAAGGCGCAGGACCGCTCAGGCCAGCCCCTCTCCCTTACCCCCACCCGCAGCACAGGGCAAAATGACTGTGGCCAGCAAACGATGGCCTGTTCTATTACTTCCAGATCGAAGTTGTGGCAAGTACGTTCACTCGCCAGAAACTTTGAAAGGCCAGAAGAGAATAATCAGATTCAGCTCCTCCTACGACACCAACCCAATCTCCAGACGTCGGTTGGCAATACACACTCAGGTTTCTTTTGTTTTTTTTTTTTTTTTTAACGAAATCCTAACCCTGGGAAAAGCTGGGCACTTGTACAAGGGCGTCGGTCCCCAGTAAGGACATACTCTGCGCGGCTCCTGTGAGGCGAGTTGGGAGCGCAGCTTTGAAACCAGCGCCCAGCCAGTGGACCCAGGCCTGCCTCCAACATTTGACCCATGCTGCGAATTTGGTTTTTCCGTCTAGGTCCTGGACACTGTTTACCCCCTTGCCCTTGTCTAGAGAGGGGGCCAAACGACCGGGGGTGGGGTGGGAGGAGAGAGACTTTCCTCACCCTGGCCCCGCTACCCCGATGCTCCGGGGACCTGCGCAGCCTGCGGATCTGCCGCCACCCCCCATCCCGCCCCTTCCCTGGCACGGGCGCGGACGCGCCAGCCACTCACAAACTCGAAGAAGAAGAGCAGGTCCGGGAAAGTGGTGAAGACCGCGAAGCCGCGGGGCAGGGTGCTGCCACCCGACGCCGCTGCGGGGGCCATGCGGGCGAGCTGGCGTCGGCCTCGGGACTGGACGCGCGCGGACCGCTCGCTTGCTCTGCGGAGCCCAGTGGCCCGGGCGCCCCCGCGCGCGGGTTAAGAGTAGGGGAGCCCGGGGCCGAGGAGGGAGGAGCCGCGGTCACCGCCCGCCCTGTCCCCGCCCAAGTCCAAGGCGCGCGCCGCCAGGGATCCGGCCCCGAGCGCCGCGGGTGTGGTCTTGACCCACCCGGAGGGCGCGCTGCGGGCTTGTGGCTCGGCGGGCGGGAGATGGACTCCTGCGTCCCACCTCCGGGGCCACCTCCCACCGGGAGCGGGACAGAGTCACTTCGGCGAGGCGCTTCGCACGCTTTGCACGGGATCACCATCCCTGAAGAATGATAACCATCAATACCTAGGCCCCCCAAACTGCCCATCGTGACACCCCTAGGGTCCCCATTGCTTTAACCGTTCTTAAGTTGGGTCTCCTTCATCCTTCCGCGCTCGGTGCGTTGAGAAGTGCGACCTCCGCGTTCAGGCTCCAGGTGGGACGAGTTCTGCCCTTGGCGGCAGGCTGGGGGTCTGCGGGGGCGGCCCTGAGACCAGCTCTAGCCACCCACCCCTTCTCCCCGCGCATTCCGAGCCCGGCGCGCGGTCCACTCCCCTGTGCGTTGGAGCTGCGAAGAGTCTGAGGGTAGGAGGTTGCTCTCAGCTATGTGACCCCCGAAGGAGGGCTGCTGGTGGCCGTGCTGGGGCAAGTCTGCACTGAATTCAGGGGTTGGGGAGGGGCACTTTTAGAGCAGATCTATCTCCTTCTCTCCGAGGGGGTATCCTGGGGCCTCTGCGGGTAGGATGACTCCTCCCCATGTGCTCTGACTGCCTGGATTTTGTTTTGGTTTTGTTTCTTTCTGGACCACGATTCATTTATTGTTTTTTTGCCTTTATTTTAAGACAAGTATCAGACTCCAGTAGTTGCCCATTTATTTTTAGATACTTTTACAGTACTGAGTTTTCTTCTACAAATCCTAAAGCCTATAATCTTCTGGGAGTTCAGGACATGCCTCCAACTCAGACTCCCCAGTGTTTTTTTCCCCCCCAAAGATTTTATTTATTTATTTAGGTGACAGAGAGAATTAGAGAGCACAAGCAGGGGAGCAGCAGAGGGAGAGGGAGAAGCAGGCTCCCGGCTGAGCAGGGAGCCCAATGTGTGATTCCATCCTAGGACTCTTGGATCATGACCTGAGCGGAAGGCAGATGCTTAACTGACTGGGTCACCCAGGCGCACCTCCCCAGTGCTTCTGTTGGCTTCGCCCACAGCAAGGAGCAGGACACAGGGCTCCCCTCTCTCCAGGGGGACCCTCAGTCTTTCCCCTCTACACAGCTCTTTTTCTCCTAGTCCCTATGAAGAGAAGTAAATTCCTGGACACATTTTCCAAAGCAAAAATCCATGCCCATTGATGTGGGAAACAAAGACAAAAGAAAGCTTAAATTTCCTTACTACCTATAGCTCACTGACAGATCCTTGAAATAGGCAGAGTGATCATCCTCTAGGAAATCAGCTGCCTCAATGTTAATGCTTTGCTGGGGGGCAAAAGGCAATTTTAGCCTGACCCCCCCCTCCCCCTGCCAGATTCTTGTAAGTCTACTTTAACATATAAAAATTGTTTTGGAAACTTCCTTTATCTCTACCCTTCAAGATACATGTTGGCAGTCATCCTCCAAGCATATGTCCCGCTGATATATAGTTGAAGAGCCTCGTGACCTGAGTTTTTATCAAATAGTAATAAATGACCTTTTCCTAACAATAGCTAGCCCCCTCAGATCCTAGAAACCTTGTTTCCAAAATCCCCGGGGAAGCTTGTGCTGTCCCTACCCCCCTCCCAACTTGAGACTATATCATCAGTCACTCCTCACAACCCCAGTACAGCTCTTTCTGCCCACAGGTCCTGTCCCCGTGCTTTAATAAAACCACTTTTTTGAGCCAAAGATGTCTCAAGAATTCTTTCTTGGCCATTGGCTTCAAACCCTAACATCTTTCTTACATCACTCATTAGCTGTCCATTCTGACCACTTATGGAGAGGGACCAGGAAATTGAAATGAGAAAACCTCACTGTCCCTCTGGGACTCCTTGGTGCTGCTGGCTTTAGTGGTCTGAGACCTAGGGTGCCATTGTGCCAAGGCCTGTTGGCCCCTACCAGGACCCCAGGGCCAGGACGTCTCCTGGCCAAGGTCAAGGGACGCTTGTCCCTTGCTCTGTGAACGTCTGTCTCACCTGTGGTCCTTTGCTTGATGTTCATTTTCCTGACCATACTCTACCTTCTGCAGGGCATCTACCATGTCCATCTCCCATGTGCCTGTCTTCTTCCCTGTATATCATGTCTTTGGTGCCTAGCTAAGAACCTAGCCCATGGTAAATGCCCAAAGAATGTTTATCCAATGCCAGGATGGACCCAGCCTTGACTGTGCTGACTGCCCACGGAGGAAATTAAATGACTGTGAACGTAAAGAGTATTAGTAAGTAGAGATGGGTCTGTCTTGATTTCACAGCAGAGCTTCTGGAGGGTGCTCTGAGCTGATGATTTAGTTTGTTCATATTTATAAGCAGCCCAGGACCATACTTTGGTTTCCAGCAGGATATGAAAAAACAAACTTAGCCAATAATAACTCAGTGCAATGTCCTTGGTCTTCCTAGCACATAGTGTGTGTGAATGTGGGGGTCAGTCTAGATCTGGGGCTTCTGTCAAAATAATAAAATGGCCTAGGGCAGTTTCTCTAAAGTGGAAAATGACAATTGCTATGCCATCCTGAGGGCACAAGAGGTTACTTCCAGCTTTTATGCTAGGGGAAGGAATCGGGAGGGAGGAGAGGGACCTTTTCAGGGAAGGATTCACAGGACAGGAATTGCCAGTAAATAATGTGATTTGCTTTTGAGGTCTTTAGAATGACTCTCATTTTACTGATGAGGTATGGAGGCTCCGAGAGGTTAAGTAGCTGCTCAAGGCCACACAGCTAGTGAGTGGTAGAACTCAGCCTTGAACCTGAATGATGCTGTCTCCGAAACTGCAAGCACTTGATTAAAACAATGCTGAAGATGGGCAGTTGCCAACCAAATGCCATGCTCCATGCAGCCACCCAAATCCAGTCTTAGTGGTCCTCTTGAGCACGGCAGTGGGCACCTGTTCCCTGAGGGATCTCTGCCTGTCTGATAGGGCTCTGGACTTTTCCTTCCCTGTCTGGGTACACAAGGCTGGAAGTCATCATCCCCGTTTATGGACAGGGAAGCTGGATGAAGGTCCGAGTTCAGAGACCTCCCCTGGGCCAGCACTTATTTCAAGAGATTTTATTTTTATATAGTCACCCCACAGCCCCAGATTTCTACCCATGGCATGAAACAACGAGGGCACCTGCTGGGTGGATGGATTAATGACAGTCACAGCTGCCTTGGCCCCAGGAGGGCAGAGGGGAGTTAGCATTGTTGACAGCCTACTAAGTGCCCAGCACCGCCATAAGCACTTGGCCCACATGACCTCAATTGAAACGCACAGAGCCCTTCCAGTAGGTATCACCCCACTGCACAGGCTGAGAGTGGAAAGGAAATGTGCGCAGACCACATGGAAGGCAACTGGGCCCCCTGACCCTAGAAGGCAGGCTATCTGCACTACCTCCATGCTTGCTGCATAAAATCCACACATTTAAAAACTAGAGGTGGTGCTTGCCCCTCGGAGAGCTGTCTGATGGGTGGATGAGAACCTGTGCCTTATTCCCTCCAGTGACCACGGGCCACTGTACGTGATCTTTTCCCCTTGTCCCAACTTCTTCTAGATTCATGTTTCCTAGTGTCAGGGAGACTTGGCCGTCCCCCACCCCCTGAGAGAGTCATCACCAGGCTCTGAGATTCTCAGCACAAAGCAGGGGCTCAAACTGTCTAGATGTCACAGGCGCAGGGGTGGAGGGTGGAGGGTCTTTAAAGAGGGAAGACAGAGTCCCTGATCCCCAGTGAGTTCCATCCAAAAGGGACTTCATTACATTCAAAGTCAATAGACATGGGGACCGGGCCTGTGCTGGGCACTTCCCCTGTCCCTGCAGGCTGACGGTGGAGACAGGGCGCCCAGGCCAGCTACTCTGCAAACAGGGGGGGTGGTCACAGTCTCCCATTCCTGAGCACCTCTTGGGTGCACTGAAGAGGTAGCAGTAAAGTGAATAAAGGCCCCTGCGTGCAATCGTCCCATCAGTACCAGTTCAGTAAGCGCTGGGCAGCAGGGCCAGCCTGGGAGCGGGCCAGTCACCATCTTGCCTTTCTGCAGCTTATGTGGCACAGAAGACAGATCAATCAGACACTGCCTAATACATGTGTAATGAAGTTTGGTGCTGGAAAGAGAGGGCAGGGAGCCCCAGGGGCAGGTACCAGGGCAGCCTGGCTTGGCCTCAGGGTCAGGGGAGCTTGTGAGGGACGGAGTGAGCAGTGGTTGCCCAGGGGGAGGGGAAGAGACCAGCTCCCCAGAGGAACGGCATGTGCCAGGCCCCTGGCTCTGTCCTGGAGGAGGCAGGTGCTGCTCTGTGCACGGAGCGGGCTGCAGGTATGAACGAGGACATCCATAACACGGGTCCGAGGCACTCAGGTCGGAGCAGGAGGTAGGTGTGAACGGCCACAGGAGTCCAGGACAGAAGGAAGTCAGCACAGGTAGCAAGTTCTGTGAACGGGGGACTGAGAGGAGGGCCTGTGCAGACAAGAGGGAGAAGGGGGGCAGGCCAAGGGAGGGGTATGGATGAGTCCTTTGAGCTCTGTGGAGGCTCAGGGTGGCTCTTGGGGCAGAGCTGGAGAGGCCAAGGGCGGGCTGGGCTTAGAAGAAAAGAGGCAAAATTCAAAGGGCAGAAAGCATACATCAAGCTTAGTCCTTTCCCCCTGTTCAGCCTCGAGAGTCATCTGGCTCATTGTCTCTGACCCTTACTGGGCCTGGACTCTGCCCCTCTACACGAGAGCTCAGCCCCTGCCCGGCAGCTGCACCAGGAATTTGGCCCAAGTTGCCTGAAACATCATAAACGTCAGATGCACAGAGCAGGGCTGGTTCCTTGGAATG